GCCTCTCACAGCCCCGCACCCCTGCCCAGAAACCTCCCCAGGCCCCCAGAGCACCACCAACAGGCTGCCCAGTGCCTTCCAAACGAGTCACTGCCATCTCAGGCCACACACCCCATCAGGAGGCTACTGGCTCCGCCTGCACAGAACCCAGCCAGGCGCCTCCCCTGCGCTCCTGGAGCCGCTGCAGCACCTGACCCTCCAGCGCCTCTGGCCCCATGGCGCCCCCCTCGGCCCCCACCCACCCGCCTGCAGCCCCACAGCCCGCCGGCAGACGGCGCTCGTGCCGGCACCGCGCGGAGTGAGCTCGTCTCCCTTCACGCGTGTCACCGGTGCCCGTGGCTGCGAGCACGCAGGAGGGTGGCACCACAGCACCTGTTTCCTGCATGGCGCGTGCTGCACGATACAATGACACACGTGACAGCTACGTGGTTGTTACTGGCTCAGCGAACAGAACGCTGGCTCCATCCTGGTCACGTTCGGACAAAAAAATGAAAGCAATCTGAATTTTTCAGCAGCTCAACTAGAAAGTGGAAAAGAACACTGGTACCTATAGCAGCACTACGGCCACAGAAAAATCAACAGCACGAGGAGCCTATGGGCAGGCAGGAGAATAAATGAAATAAAAATACACATATGTTACGGGATTTCTGCAAGAACATGCGCACAAATTTAACACCCTGCAGCACAACAGCGGCCGACCATCTTGAGAGTCGCTCAAATTTAAAAGATTAGGACAGTGCTCGCTTCGGCAGCACATATACTAAAAAGATTAGGACAGTCTGAACTCAAAGATGAGTGTGCGCTCTCTGGTTGACACTCAGCTCCTGGCACCGGACAGGAGAGAAAGCGTCTGCACACGGGCACAGCCGTACAAACCCGTCCGTGCTCCGGCCACCACGACACGGTGCAGACCGCATCCCTCTACTCAGCTGGTACGTGTGTGACAAGCAGCCGAGTGCTACAGACGTGGCATTCAGCGGGACAGCCGTGACCCCTGAGCTCACACGCACCAGGCGGCTCTCGGGGCCCCAAGGCCGAGGGAAAGTCACGCCAGAAGGCCAAGCGGTGAGCCCTTCGGAATCTAGTCGACCCAGCAGACGCACCCGGGACGCATGGCCTCCGCCTCAGGGGCACTCAACCCCTTGCCAAGAACAAAAGACTACATTACAAAATACGCTCTAAACTCATAAAGCACGCTAATCTGGGTGAATCACCGAGTGAAAAACGACCGTCTGCTCACGAATGAGGGCCTCGGCGCTAAGATCACACGGCCCGGGCTGTCCCGCAGCCGGGTTCCACTTCTGGTCGTGGGGCCTGGAGACGGGCTCCGAGCACACGATTCATCTCAACCGGAGGCCACTGCCACAAAGCCGGGGCCTGGAGGTGACAACAAAGAGATGCAGCTCCTAATACAACCGGGCCCTCCTGGCGGCCGTGCGGGGAGGCGGCGGGCGGCGCGCGCTCCGGGAGGACTCCCACACGCGAGTGAGAGGAAGAGTGTCAGCTCCTCGGCCTCCAGACGGGCCTGCAGCCGGCCTCCACCCCAGCGGGCTGCCCATAAAAAAGGAAGGCTGACCTTGGCGGCCCCTACGGCCCTGCCCGGCTCAGGGGGCGGGGTGGGGAGCTGCGGTCAGCGTCCGCTCGGTTTCCAGGGCTTCGAGGGAGAGGTCACCGCTGCTCGGCCGCTCGGCCACACTGCAACGGGTCCGCCAACAGCGGGGTGCCGTCCAGCCCTTTCCCCGCTGGCTCTTCCCTTGGAAGGTGACAAAAGTTACCACCGGCCCCTCACCCCCCCGAGACCAAGGCCTACATGGCCCTGAGTTTCTAAGGTCATGGGCTAAAATCAACAGCCAGGAAGGCAGCAGGCCCCGCACTCTGCAGGACCTTCCTTCCGAAGGTCTTACAGCTCTCACCCAAAACACAGCACAAACGCGCCAGCCACGCCGGTTTACTCTTTTTTTCTAAGTCAAGTCGAGGCCCAGGTGGGTCCTGAGCTCACAACCCTGCCGGGCGCCCACGTTCTACTCTTTCTTGCAGTCACTTGTAAGTGAGTAACTTTCAACACAACCGATATGTTACTTCTGGAAGAATGAATTAAAACGTCATCGATAAAACAACTGTTGCCCCAAAAAGGAGGGGCAAAACCTAGAAATAAAAGTACAAGGTGGCCCACAGTCCTGGCGGCAGCCCCGGAGCCGAGAGCCGGAGGACACTTCCCGTCTGGCCACCTGCCACCGCAGGCCGGGCCCAGGTGAGCGCTCCCGTGTCCCCCCCCCTGCAGACGCCGGGCACCGGCCCAGGGCGGCGCTTCCCGGGAGACACCCAGAGCCCCAAAAGGCCAATACGAAACGTGAAGGCAGCCTCCGTGCACCTCACCCTGGCGTGTCTGCTGGCTTCCAATTCCCACACAAAGGGAAAACGCCGGTCACTCTCACTTAGGTACATATGACAATTGTACAAATAAGATATTGAAGCCATTTTCGGCAACATCCCCACCCCCAACGCTGATTCACCATTAAAGCTGCTGATTGAAAGAACCATGTCTAATTAGCTGAAAACTAAGCCGGAGACACACGGGGAAACATCCAAAAGAAGAAACAAAGAACAGGCCCCTGGATTAGGAACTGGGGGGGGCGGGGGGGATACTATCCGACCACAATACTACCCCCCTCCACCTTTCTGCTCTCCTGAAACACCAGACGGTGCACTGGTAGCAGCGAATCTTCCACCCAGGCTGTGACCTCCACACCAATGACATACATAAAATCGGTTCAGCTCAGCCAAGGTGAGTCTTCTCGATCACGTGAATTAAGAGCTCCCAAATTTGTAAATTTACAGGCTGTCAACTAAAAAAAAAAAAAAAAACCTATATCTGCTCCCCTTCTGAATCAATGTACAGAATGGAAAAACCTTCTCGTCTGGCAAAACTGATGGAAACCAGACCTCCCCAAATAAGCGTGTGATGAGCACAGCACTGCCACGGGACAGTGACCAACGGGCAACGCAGCTCTGGTCGTCGGCGTGAGGACGGCACCTCCCCGCCTTCTGCCCGCACTCGCGTTCTGTTCTATGAACACCGGCTTTTAATGATTTCAAAACAGTAAGGCCTATTAATATGAGTTTTTGAAATAATTATCTGATGAGTCGACAAACATTAAAGAGAGAACTGGTACTGGAAATAAAACTAGACCCACCCCTGAGGGCGCACACTCATTGCCAGATAGCTGACCAATCCCCGGCCGAACGCCAAAGTGAAAGGCGAGAAGATAAACACACGTTCGTTTTGCTAAAAGAATCGTAAAGCACGCAGAGAGCGCTTTTTAGAGGTATTCGTGTCGATACGGCATTCGTTACCAGAAACTTCCCCATATCCGTTCACAAAATCTTAAAATACGTACAGGAGCGACACCTCGAACACACGCCCCAGGGGCCGCGCCCAAGAATGCGCTGTGGCTGAAAGCAAAGGACCAGGCCCGCCGGCGCCCGGAGGGTGAACAGGCCTCCTGTGAAGCACGACACGGCCGTGGAAAAGCCAGACCCCTGGACGACGCTGGGAAGGATCACGGAGGGTCACGGGAAGAAAGCAGTCACGGAAGATGCAAGAACGTGGAAGACTCCGAGACACGGCTTAGGGACGGAAGCGGCGTGGTGAACTGTAACCACCAGCCAACACGGGACACGGGGCGCTGAGGTCCACCCGCACCTGCGTCTCCTCCACCTGCCCGCCCGCCGCCGCGGGGCCACTCGGTGTTCCCCTCTGCCTCCTGCTCCACAGTCCTCCGTGCTCCCCCGGAGAGCACGGCAACTCGCGGCTGTGGCAGCGGCCGGCACCAAAGGACGCTCGGACCGAGCCGTCTTCCCTAAACAAAACCCGTCAACAGCAAACTCGAGGAACGCGCTCCCCTTGCTCGCTCTGAAACCTGCCTCAAATAAGGCGACAGTGGAATGGCTGGGACCTGCGGCCGCCGCCGACAGCACCCGCCACTCCGCCTGCTGGGACCCTGTCACAGGGCAACGCTGCTCCGCAACGTTCAAAAAGGGTCCACCAAACTCCCCCCAAAGGGCCCTCTCCAGTTCGGGGTCACTCTGGAAACAGGCTTGTTGGCACCAGAGTAACGGCCATTTTTAAACAGGTTGGTTTTTTTTTTAATATTTTTATTTATTTCTAGGAGAGAGCGAGCGACAGTGTGAGCAGGGGAGGGTCAGAGAGAGAGGGAGTCACAGACTGAAACAGGCTCCAGGCTCCGAGCTGGCCGTCAGCAGAGAGCCCGACGCGGGGCTCGAACCCACGAACCGCGAGATCATGACCTAAGCGAAAGTCGGACGCTCAACCGACTAAGCCACCCAGGCGCCCCTTTAAACCGGTTTCAAATCAGAAGGCAGGTTACACCGTATCAGCTCCCAAGGTGGTACACAAAACAAAGCCCCAGACGTCAATAAAGCCGCTACGGGAACCACCAGGTCCGTGCGATTCGAGGGCTTGGAAATAGGAGAGTCTGAATCCACGAAGCGCATTAGGGCCTAACAAACTGGATTCGGTAACAAGGTTACCTAGTTCTTCAAAACGGGAATTAACCGTGGGGAAGGATGCTCGCTAAGCACAACCCGTTCAAAAAGCGATTTCTCGGGGAACTCCACGTCTGATGCTTGGCGCGCACCCAGAGGCCTGGCCCCGGCACTCCGGCCTCGCCAGGGGTCTGGCTCGACGGCCGGCCCCGCACCCACCCCCGGGCAGCGAGGGGAGCGCCCGCTCGTCGCGACACCTGCGGGCAGGGGCCCCCGCCCCGCGCGCCCCCGCGGCCCGCTCCGCAAGCGACCCGCACAGCGTCGCGGCCGGGGGACCCCGAGCACAAAGGCGGCCCCGGCCCCCGCCCCCGGCGCGCCCACCCCCACCCCCCGCCCCGGCTCCGGCGCGGGGCCCCGGCCCCGCCCGCGGCCCCGCCCGGCCCCCGGCCGGAGCCGACCCCAGGTCCCCGCCCCGCGCCCCCGCCGCGGCCCACCTATGCCGTAGGCCTTGGCGCAAATCCACTGCAGGTTGGCGGCGATCTTGGCGCGGGCCGAGTCGTAGCGGTCCAGGGGCACGATGTCCACGGCGCCGTCGGGCGCGGCCTCCATCCTCCTCCAGCCCTCCCCGGCCGGGCAGCCGCCCGCGTCCACCATCTGCACACAAAAAGGCCGCTGCAGCGCGGGCGGTGCCCGGCCTCCGCCGCAACAAAGGCGCCGCGCCCCTCGCCGCGCCGGGACCCGCGAGGGGGCCGGGCCGGCGAGCACCGCGGCCCCCGGGAGGCCGCCCCCGCCCCGGCCTCACCTCACAGCCGCCGCCGCCGCCGCCACCGCGGGTGCTGCTGCTGCATGCTGCGGGGCCGCGCCGGGAGGCCGGAGGGCCCGGAGGCCGGGAGGCCCGGAGGCCCGGAGGCCGGGGAGGCGGCGAGGCGAGGGGCGCGGGCCGGCCGCGGGCCGGGGCGGGGGGCGCTTGCGCGGGCCGGGGGCGGCGGCGGCTGCGGCCGCTGAGGGGGCGGCCAACCGGCGGGAGCGCGCGCAACGCCGAGGCCCTGCGCACGCGCGCTGGGTGCCGCCCGCCGCCCCGCCCCCGACCCGCGCTAGCCCCGCCCCTTACCGCACGCGCAGTGGGTCGGCCGGCGCTCGCCCCGCCCCCCGCCGCACGCGCAGTGGGAGCGACCCGCTCCCGGCCCGCGCTCGCCCCGCCCATCGCCGCACGCGCCTCGGGCCAGCCTGCGGCCCCGCCCCTCTCCGCGGGCGCCGGGCGCGAGTCGCGCGGGGCGGGCGGGCACGGGTGGGCAGGTCCGGGCGGGTCCCGTAGCAGCTCTTTGTCTGGGCCGCGCCTTCTCCGTCCGGGACCCTGGCCGTCTGCAGCGGAGGTGCCAGCCGCCGTCCGACGGGCCGACTGCCACCTCGGGAGGGCGACGCCCCCCCCCCCCCCAGCCCCAGCGCAACCCCGGAGTCTCCCCCTCCCGGAGAGAGGCACTGCTGACGGGGCCGCCCCGCCCACCGCTGCTGGGACCCCGAACCCGCCGCGGGGGAGGAGGGGCCTGCTGGGCACCGGCCCCGCCCGCGCCTCCGCCGCCCCTCCCCGTCCCCCCTCCCCCGGAGAACCCCAAGCCCAGAGACCCGGGACCCGCGGAGAGCAGGGGCAGAAGCTTTCTGGGTGGGGGTCCGGGTGTGGGGGGGCCGCCGCCCTAAGCCGGAATGTGGAGCCTGCGGTCGTTGCACAAGCACCCAGCGGAGAGGGCCCCCCCCCCCGGCAGAGGTCGCGCCGGGGGCAGGGCGGTCAAGGACAGGCGTGCGGGGGGGGGGCGCGGGGAGGGCACGCGGGGGCCGGGCAGCGCCGGCACGTGGGCGACAGGGACGCCTGTGGTCCGGAGCCGGCTTCGGAGAGGGGCTGGCCACGGGGGTGCTGGCAGGCCAGCCCTGGAAGCCCCGACCCCTTCCCCGAGATGGGCAGCCAAAGAGAGACCGCGAGCGCGGTGAAGAAAGGGTGTGAAAGACCCTGCCGAGGTCAGGGAGGAGGGGCGGGCCGGCCCGGGATTCTTCCGGAAGACCGCCCCCCATGCCCCCCCCATGCGGACCCTGGGGCGGAGAACCGAGGTCAAGGGCGCCTGCAAGGGTCTCAGTATCGACCTTTTGTCCTGCAACCTTGGTGGACGCGTTCTTAGTTCCAAGGTTTTCAGTCGATCCCTAAGGACTTCCCACACTTTCCGCACACAAGGTGATGCCATCTGTGGACGGACACAGTCTGCCTCTCACTTCCCAATCCTGGTGTCGTTTATTTCTTCCTCTTGCCTAAGGACGCTGACCACAGCCTCCGGTAGAATGACATCCTAGCCTCGTTGCTGCTCTTAGGAGAAAAGCAGCCAGTCTGTGCTGCCCAGCACCACTCAGATGTGGGCTTTCCTGCTCATCAGGTTGGGGGGGGGGTCCCCTCTATTCCTGTTTTGTTGAGGTTTTATCAGGAAAGGGTGTTGGGTTTTGTCCAGTGCTTTTTTTTGGTGATTATTTGAAAATATTTTTTTTTATTTTTATTTATTTCTAGGAGAGAGAGACAGCATGAGCAGGGGAGGGTCAGAGAGAGAGGGAGTCACAGACTGAAACAGGCTCCAGGCTCCGAGCTGGCAGTCAGCACAGAGCCCGACGCGGGGCTCGAACCCACGAACCGCGAGATCATGACCTAAGCGAAAGTCGGACGCTTCACCGACTAAGCGACCCAGGCGCCTTTTTTTTTGTGATTATTGAGATGATTCCGTGAGGTCTTTTTATTCATCCTGTGAATGTGGTATGGTTCGTTGATTTGATTTTCAGATACTCAGCCAGCCTCGCATTCCTGAGAAACCTCACTTGGTCATAGTATATAATTTTTTTTTTCAAGTGCAGCAAAGCAGCTTTGGGTCTTGGGGTTTTTGTTGTTTTGGAGTTTTTAGCTTTACTGAGATACAGTTGACATGTAACACAGCGTAAGTTTAAGCTTACAACTTGATGATTTGTTACATGTATAGTACACGGTACACGTAGCACTCATATGTAGGTATGTATCGTGAAATGATTACTGTGGTCAGGTTAGTTAACATCCATACTTCACCTGGTTACCTTTTGTGTGTATGTCTTTTGAGAACATTTAAATTTACTCCCTCACCAGCCTTCAAGGCTACAGTTCAGTATTGAGTGGCCAGAATACTATAAACTACGTCCCCAGAACTCACTCCTCTTAAAACTGTAAGTTGGTAACGATTTTAACCAAAATCTTCCCACGTCCCCCACCTCTCAGCCCCTGCCAACCACAGATCTGCTGTCTGTTTCTATACGAGTTTGGTTTCTGGATTCCACGTGTGAGATCACAACAGTATTTGTCTTTCTCTGATTTCACTGAGCACAGCGCGCTGGAGGCCTACCCACATTGTCACAAATGACAGGGGTTTTTATGGCTGTATTCATGTATTTTGTTCATACGTGTGAGATACACACATACGTGTACATAAAACTATAAAATCCACTGATGGACACTCAGGTTGTCTCCATTTCGTGGCTGTTGTGAATATGCTGTAATAAGCATGGGGGTGTGGGTATTTTTTCAAATTAGTGTTTTTGATTCCTTTGGATAAATACCAAGAAGTAGAATTGCTAGATCATTGGGTTGTTCTATTTTTAATTTTTTGAGGAACCTCCACACTGTTCTCCATAGCGGCTGTACCATTTACATTTTCACCAACAGTGCATGGGATTTGCCTTTGTCCACATCCCTGCCCACACTTGTCAGCTCTCGCCTTTTTGATGGTGGCCATTCTGACGGGGTGGGTGAAGTCATAGCTCCTTGTAGATTAGCATTTTCCCTGATGTTGAGCACCTTTTCATGTACACGTTGGCCATTTATGTGTCTTCTTCTTTTTTTAGTGTTTATTTCTGAGAGTGAGCAGGGAGGGGCACAGAGAGGGGGAGACGCAGAATCCGAAGCAGGCTCCAGGCTCTGAACTGTCAGCACAGAGCCTGACACGGGGAAGGGAGGGGCTCGAATCCACCAAAGGCGGGATCGTTACCTGAGCTAAAGTCGGATGCTTAACTGACTGAGCCACCCAGGCGCCCCTATGTATCCTCTTTGGAAAAATGTCTGTTCAGATCCTTTGCCAATTTTTTAAATTGGATTATTTGGTTGGGAGTACTTCCCCTCTTCAATTTTTTTTTAGAAGAGTTTAAGAAAGACCAATTTTAATTCTTTGTGTTTGGTAGAATTCACCAGTAAAACCATCTGGCCCTGAGCTTTTCTTTGTTGAGAGATCTTTGATGATTTTTTTCAATCTCCTTAGTCACTAGTGGCGTATCCAGATTTTCTATTCATGACTCAGTTTTGGGGAGGCTGTGTGTTTCCAGGAATGTATCCATTTCTTCTAGGCTATCCAGTCTGTTGGCATATAATCGTCCACGCTAGTCCCTTATGATCTTTTGTATTTCTGTGGGATCTCTTGTAATGTCTCCGTTTCTTTTACACTTTTGTCGATTTGAGTCTTTTTTTTCTTGGTTAATCTAGCAAAAGGTTTGTCGATTTTGTTCCTCTTTTCAGAACACCAGCCTCCTTGATTTTTTTCCTCTTGTTTTTCTAGTTCCTATTTCATTTATTTATGTTCTAACCATCTTTATTATTTCCTTCGTTCTGTGAACGTTGGGCTTACTTTGTACTTGTATTTCCTTGAGGCGTAAAGTTAGGGTGTTTGAGATCTTCCCTCTTTTCTTAACGTGGGCACGTATCTCTCTAAACCTCCCTCTGAGAGCTCCTCTTGCTCCATTCCATCAGTTTGGGTTCGTTGTGTTTCCCGTGTCTCAGGACGCTTTCTGATTTCCTGTTTTATTTCTCCTTTGACCCATTGGTTGTTGGTGTGTGTTGTTTAATTTCAGCGTATTTGTAAATTCTCTGGTGGTTCTTCTGTTACTGGTTTCTAGCCATGGTGCTCGTAAAAGATACTTGACGTGATTTCAATCTCCTTAACTGTGTTAAGACTCACTCTGTATGTGATCCGTCCTGCAGGGTGCTGTGTGCCCTTGAGAAGACCTGCGTCCCGCTTCTGTCGAATGGAGGAGCCTTAGGTTAGTTTAGTCTACAGCGTTGTTCAAGTGCGCGGTTTCCTTACCGACTCTCTGGACACTGTATCCGACGGATGCTGAGGGTGGGGTATTAAAGTCCCCTCCTGTTACTGTATGTCTGTTTTTCCCTTGACTTCTGTTACTATTTATCTCAAATATTTAGGTGCTGCCATGTTTGGTGCTATATATGTGTGTATATATAGTATTTATGATGGTTCTGTCTTCTTGATGAGCTGACCCTGTTATCACTGTATGGTGACTTTCTCTGTTTCTTGTGAGCAGTTGTGACTGACGGTCTGTCTTATGTGATATGAGCACAGCCTCTGCCATCACTGGTCTTCCATGTGAGGTGTGTCTTCCTGTGTCCCTTCACTCTCGAGAAGCCTGTGTGTGTCCTGACAGCCAACGTGAGGCTCTTAGAGGCAGTATGTGGGTGGATCTGGTTTTTTAATCCATTCAGTCAGGATATGCCTTTTGTTTGGAAAACAACCCATTTACATTTAAAGTAATTACTGATAGGTAAGAACTCAGAATTGGCAGTTTGTTAATTGTTTTATACGATTTTGTTCTTTTATTCCTCTCTTGCTGTTTTCTGTTTGTGGTTTATTTCTTGCAGAGGTGTGCTGTAACTCTTTCATCTGTTATGAAGACAGAACAGGCTATTTTTTTAAGTGACATCTATGCCTAACGTGGGGCTTGAACTCACCACCCTGAGATCAGAGGTCACACGCTCCACTGACTGAGCCCACTGGGCGTCCCCAAACAGTCTATTTCAAGGTGAAAACTTACCTTCAGTCACAGGTACAGAGCCCTGCAGTTACTGCCCGCC